TGGAACTGAGGACTGAAGAGGCCTGTATGGAGTCACACATTAACTGTGACTGTCTTATCTTTTTCAGAAGTCTTAACTGTCTTATCTTTTTCAGAAGTAGAAAACTACAAGTATAATCAAAGAAAAACGTATGGTAATTTTCTATTTTTCTACAATTATTAATGTAATGAAGAGGGGTAATGTTAATCAATTGTAATGTATGAATAGAAATGAAGTGATGGTTTTTTTAGCTGTAACTGGCGTGAGAGCAAGAAGCAGAGAAATTTCTGTGTTCGAAATCTTGAGGCTGAGCAGATAAGGAGGGCACTATGGTCTGGGAGCCAGAAGTGGGAAAGCTTGCCCGGCAACAGGGGATGAGCAGTGAGGCTATCTGCAATATAAAAACTGTGCCAAAAAAAGAAACGGGGTTGTTTCCTCGCAGAAGACCAGCAAACAAGATCGGACGGAGAAAGAAGCTACAGATGAATCAGAAGATCGGAGACGCAGCCCCGCTGACAATTCTGCATCATAGAGAGGATCAACCCGTGTGCCCAGAGAAGATCTGCAACTCAAAATTGACAATCTGAATTTCATCTGTTGCATTTTTACCAAGACAACTGAAGTGAACTTGGTCAGTGAACAACTGATTGCTCTAAGTTTCAGGCTACTGAAAGTCCTGAACCAACCTCAATTACATCTCAAAGGTATCCTTTTCAGCCTGTGGAAGCTACCGACTACCAACATATGAGTTTCTGTTATTTTAAATTTTTTTATTTTTTTATTTTTTTTCCAACTTGAGCATTGAAACCACGAGCATCAGCACCTGTCCACTTAGCAGAAGAAAACTGAAGATTTGCCTTTCACCCAAGAAGAAAATCACTCGTTGCCTACTGAAGAAATCATTCCATTCGGATCCATGGTGAGCCTCCATCTCCAAAGCCTCTTCAGCCTTACCAGTTTCAGCATTAGGGAAAGATAAGTTAAGTTGATTGATTTATTTCTCTTCAAATTATTAAGTTTTGCTGATTTTTAAGCTGTGACTGACCCCTGCAAAAGCATTACTAATTAAAGAAAGCATATAAAATTCTAGATTTATTGTGGACAGTCAATTATTTGAGTCACCTTATTTTTGGGTTTTTCGTTGTTGGTAAAAAGTCTTGTTGCCTGGTTCCAAATGATTTTAGGAGGTTTTTATAGGTTGCCTTAAGCCAAACTTGTTAAAACAATGCCCTTGGGGCTCGTGCCGAGCCACTAAAATCAACCTAACCCATATACCAATTGCAAGTCACCAAAGGCAGGGTTTAGCTCATCGGACAACGAAAGAGTCAAAATGCAGCTATGACTCTAAAATGAAAAAGCCAGTCAGTCAGTCATTTTCTACTGCTTATTCCATAGTGTGTCACGGGGGAGCTGGTGCCTATCTCCAGTTGTCTATGGGCAAGAGGCAGGGTACACCCTGGACAACCACACACACACCTCAGGGCAATTTTAGTTGCCAATTAACCTAACAGGCATGTCTTTGGACTGTGGGAGGAAGCCAGAGTACCCGGTGAGAACATGCAAAGTCCATGCAGAAAGAGCCCATGCTGGGAATCGAACCCAGGCCCTTCCTGCTGCAAGGCAACAGTGCTACCAACTGCGCCACCGTGCAGCCCAAATGAAAAACCATTTCTGTTAATACATTTTAATTTTCAAATTTGACATTTCAAAATGAATTTTGGTCACTTTTTGCTGAGACATCTTTTGAAAATGAAATGTTAGACGTCATTTTATTTATCATTTCAATTAATTTACAAATTGAGCAGTTTTGGAGAAGAAAATGAAAATGCAGTTATTAATTTTTAATTTTATTTATGAGTCAAAAAATGCAGTTTCATTTTGAAAATGAAAAAGCATTTTATTAATACATTTTAATTTAAATATTGGCACAAATTTGCTTCCATACATTTACTTGACTAAGCTTGCCGTACTTGAAAGGCAAGCAGCCTACTTGCTCTGTTACCCTGTGCTTAATAATTGCTATTAGCAAATCTGAGAGCCCCTTCTGCCTTGTAGGTAAGTAATTAATTTAATTCTTGACTCGTTTCCTGTAATAATTTGTTTTTATATTATCCTGTGCTTGCTCTTACAGCTTTAACCTATTGCTATAAAGTAGACAGGGGGAGACTACATTGTCATTCAAATATTCAATCAGATTCTTCTGTAACTCTTTCCACACTGTTAGCAGAGACACATTAAGCCTCCAATATTTAAATTGATTATTCTGTCTAAGAGATAATTTGAGTGTAATGACGGCATGGTCTGAGATAGTTATCAGCCCAATTTTGGCATCTAGTACTCTATATGAATATTTTCTTGTTATGGCAAAAAGTCTGTTCTTGAGTATGTCCCATGTACTTGAGACATAAAAGTACAATCTATGTCTCATTGATGAAGGGACCACAACATATCCACCAAGCCCAATTCTTCAATCATGCCTTGTAGTACTAATGTCTTCCTAAATTTTGGCTCCACACCTGTAGGTAATCTGTCTAATTTCCAGTTTAGTATGCAATTAAAATCACATTGCACAGTAATTACTCTGCATATAAGTTCAATATAGTTCCTTGCAAACCTCAATTGAGCCCACCACCATCACAAAGCAGCACCCATCATCCTATATTAACTCTTCCTTATGAAAATATACTGATTTGATGAAAAGAATTGCGACCCCTCATTTTTACCATTTTTACAGGCGGCGCTATAAACCTGATCGACCCCTTCATGCTTCAGTTTTAAGTGTTCAGTATCTGATAAATGTGTTTTCCCTCCTCTTACCTAATGTGGTATTTCTTCTTATCCTCTTTTTACCTAAGTGTGGCTTCATAGATTTTTAGATTGCTTAGAAGGACTCATAGATTTTTGGATTTCTTAGAGGGATTGTATTACAACTATTTCATACCAGTGAAAACCAAACATTATTAGCATTTGAAAGTTTGGGCTAAAACTGTTTTATACCAGTGACCCACCTTCTCTACTTAGACTTCAGTGAGTGCCCATCACTGTTATTATTTGAATGATGGGACCACAACTGCCTCATACCAGTGACCTCAAGGATTAATATTATCATTTTTCTTCTGGCACAGGATGAATTCCTTACCACAGAGGACTTAATGAACTAATTACCTCTATTAGAAAGATTGGATTAGAACCAGCTCTTACCAGTAAACCCCCAATGATTATTAATGTCATTTGATTTGTTTTTCTGTGTTTGATTTCCTGTATCATTGTAATGTTTTTCCTCATGTACAGCTCTTTGAGTGCCTTGTTGCTGAAAAGCGCTATATAAATAAACTTGACTTGATTTGACTTGACAAATGTGTTTCTGGAACCAATGCTATAGAACTTTTTTTTTTTTTAACGGACCAAAGAGTTTCTTTCTTTTGATAGGATTGTGAATACCTCCTATATTATAACTAATACAATCCAATACAACCATGGTTGAAGGTATTGCTGGTCTTTTTTTCTTTCCTCAATACCGAAGTTGGTAAATGGGCACATCTTGTCACATATCTCTGCCCATATACCACAGTTCCTGTTGGTCAATGGGTTTAAGCTGTTACTCCAATCATGGCATCACCAGAAGTCCCAAGTATTCAAGGACTTCATACAGAGAAGAAAAATAAACGTTTCAGCAACATAAGTATGATAGCAGTGGATTATAAAAACTCACCTCTTCACAGTGGGACAAATAAAAAGGGAAGAGGAATAGTAGAACTCAATATTTGTAGTGCTCCTGGAGGACACTAGACAAATGAAGAAAAAAGTGGGGCGAAGCTGGAGGACCAAACCCCTAATACAAGAGACAGGGGGACATTGGGACGGTCAGGTATGAACAGACAAATAGATTAAATAAACAAGTTTTGTGTGATTATACAATTGGTAATAAGGAACCGGTTACACTGACCACCGTAGAATTTCACAAAATTATAAACCCATAAGAAACAGAAAATAACACAGGCCAACAACAAAAAAAATTACTACAACCAGAGACAGAAAAGTAATCTACTGAAAGAATACGAAGTCACAGAAACTTCTTAGACTTAATAGTTGTGGTCCCCTATACACTACACAATTTTGGCCATTTCCGGTAGTGAAAACGAAGACATACCGTCCTCATAACCAGCAAGCCACTGACTCAAAAGAGTAGCAATACATGTCCAAACTAAAACAGAAAAAGGAGCATTATACCTACAGTAAAACATGGTGGTAGTGGTAGTGAGAACCTGTTTTGCTGCGTCACAACTTGGACAACCTGCTGTACTTGTTGGAATAATTAATTCTGCTCTACCAAAAAGTCTAGAGGGAGAATGTCGGCTATCCATTTATGACCTTAAGCTGAAGCTCAGTTTGATTACGATCCGAACAACACTAGCAACTCCAACCTTGAATGCCTCAAAACAAACAAAAAAAAAAGTTTCAAGTGGCCTAGTAAAAGTACTGACTTAAATCCTATTAAAATGCTGTGGCAGGAGGATAAACAGGCCATTAAAAGGACGGCAAGTTAATACAAACCCTTGACAGTCATTGCCACCAAGGGTGGAAATATCAGTTGTTAGGTTTAGGGTGAAATCAGTTTTTCATATCTACGATGGACTGGCGACCTGTCCAGGGTGTACACTGCCTCTCGCCCATAGACTGCTTGAGATAGGCACCAGCTTCCCCGCGACCCACTAAGTAAGAAGCGGTATAGAAAATGACTGACTGACTGACAGTTTTTCATATACTGCCAGGTTGGTACAAATTGAATTTTTACTTTAGTAAAGGATATCTGCATTACTAAAACATCTAAAACTGCATTTTATATTCACCCAGGTTATTTGTGATATTAAATTTGGTTTGATAATTTGAAAATTCAAAAGTTATGAAAAAGCAAAAATAAAATAAATCTATTAGATAGCACTTACACTGTATACCAAAGCATAGCTTTGAAATCATAATAATGTTGTAGTACTTTATTAATCGATATTACACAGATGAGTGTAGCTACAACAGCAGCTACCTTGCTGACAATCCCCACAGTGTTATGCTGACTCATCAGCATAACACCCACCCAGCCCTGCCACCCCTCCCGCCATCCTTCATCATGTCTTTTAATTTCAGAGGCCAACATGGCACTGGGCGATGACAGAGAGAGGTCAGAGCTTGACTGCCATTAAACCGTTAAAGATCAGAGAGGAGGCCAGGACGTGGTGTGCTCTGCCATGGAGTGATGCTTTCATCAATGGCTCAGAGAATATTAGAATGTGGACTTTAGTGTATTAAGTACAATGATGACAGCAGTTCTTTTAGCAGGAATTCAGAGTTAAAATCACAGTAATAGTTTCAGCTTAGGTTTGTATTTATGTGTTTGTTAGCATTGTCACCTTAAAGCAAAAGCTTCAAATATCAAGTAGGTAGGCCTTTCTGGGTGTTGTTTACTTTCTTTCAACCATTACTTGTAAAATACAGTTTCTTATGATTCACCCATCACTAAAATCTGTTTAAATTATACACAACTCAACTTTGATAGCCACTTTTGTGTTGCTAGCTTGTTAGTCATGTAGATAATTTCCATGTGCAATACTTCGTAACAGACAAGCAGGGATCAGACAGACAATACACCAAAAGGAAAGGCCTCCTTGACAATACCTTAATACACTTTTAGCTCCCTCACCAGTGTTTCCTTTAGATTTATTTTAGAACTCTGACTTGGGCAAACAAAACCTTAGACTTCCAGTTAAAAGAAGCATGTTCGTAGCAGAATTACAGCATTGATTAAAACCTAAATTTACAAGGGACCTGAATAATTTTGGACTCAACTGTAGATCTCAGATGTTACGGGCATCAATTAACGTGTAATGTTGATGATGTTGAAAGTTTGTCTTTCAAGAACACTAAACAGAAACCTGGCTGATGCAAGAGGATTATGTTATTATAAATGAGTAAACTCCTACTAATTATTTTAATTTTCACATTCCTCAAAATACTGGGCGAGGAGGAGGAGTAGCAACCATATTTCAGTCCAATTTATTGATTAGTGCCAGAACAGTTAATAGCTACAACTCTTCTGAATATTTAATCCTTAGTTTTCCTCATCCAAATTGCAAAGCACTAAAACCACTTCTGTTTGTTGTTTTGTACCGTCCACCAGGTCCTTACTCTCATTTTTTAGATCAGTTTTCAGACCTTTTA